GACACGCAACGGCACGAACACCGCTAAAAACTTACCTTCTCTGGGACTTCGACGGGAGTCGAGCGGTGTTCGACAATTCAAACGGCACTTTAACATTGACTTTGTGCACGAACGGTCCCTGTTCGACTATTCAACGTGGACTTAGTCATTGGAAATAGACCGGCCGCACAGCCTAATTCTTTGGAACTATTTTGGGAATGAAGCCATGCTTGCGGCCAGTCAAAAAGAGACTTCCATGAAACTCTTGAACCCCTGTGTCATGGCACAGCCCGAGCCCTGCAGACAGCAAGGCGTGGCTGCCCCTTTAAGAGACCTGGCTGAGTTTGAACTCACAGCTCCAGCATCCCAGTCAGGTTCTCTGCCGTGCTGTCCACTAGTTCAGTTTCTGTTTGCATTTTTCTGCTTCCTGACCACCTGGCCCTGGATTAAGCAGCACTGATCCACCTGCAGCCCTTTTCCAATTAGGGTCAGCTGAACCTAATTAGCAGGCTGTAAAAGCCAGCCCTGCTTGAAACCTAGTATCTGGTCATTTTGCCTGTTTGGTGTTTCCTGCCGGATCTTTGATTTGCTACTGACTGATTTCCTGGACTCTGACCTCTGCCTGATTTACCGACTTTGTTACTCCGCTGCCAGCCCTGATTTATGCTTCTCATCTGACCCTGCCTTTGGATTTCCCCTTAATCAGTACTGTGTTTTGGATTTTGTCTGCTTCCTGTGCCATCTCCTGCAACTGGGCTCCAACTCCTTGGAAAACCGTTCCATAAGTCCCCTGGTGACTGTTACATAATGACCAGATCATTACCATGGAGCCCGCAGAGATGTTGAATGTCCTGACTACCCTCACACAGCAAGTGACCCTCATGTCCCAAACCGTAAGTGAATTGCAGCGTGGTTTTGCTGAATTAAAGGGGAGCACACACCATGCTCCTAAACCTGATATTGCATTACCTGACAAGTTCACTGGGAAAAAGACTAAACTATGTTAATTCATTACAGCCTGCGAATTACTCTTTACTCTGAAGGCACGTACCTACCCTAATGACTTTGTGAAGGTTCGTACTACCATTGCTTTATTATCCAGTCAACTTCAGACCTGGGCACACCAACTTTTACATTCCAATAGCCCAATATTGGACTCACTGCAAACATGCGCTTGTTATATGATGATCCATTGAGACCTTCTGCTGCTCGCAGTACTGTCCGTGCCCTCCGGCAAGGGAAATGACCTGTGGAGGATTATACTACAGATTTCCGGGAGCTAGCTGCTGATACCGGTTATAATGAGACTGGTCTAATAGAGCAATACAGATTGGGCCTGTCTGAGGCCCTAAAAGATGAACTAGCCGGAGTTGGGGTACCCACTTCATTGGAAGATCTGTTCCTTCTGGACACCCAGCTAGATTGCCGGTTCAGAGAAAGAAAGCAGGAGCAATTTAAAACCAGCTTTTTGCCCCATCAACGTTCTAAACCTGCTGGTGAGACCTATACCCCTATCCCCACCATGGACACAGAGGAACCCATGCAAATTGGAACACTGAATACCATGCTCACAGTAAATGAAAAAGCCAGAAGGAGAGCCAAAGGCCTTTGCTTCTCTTATGGCAAGGGAGGCCACTACATCAGCTATTGCCCGATACGTCCTCCTCGTCCTAAACATAGCCATGTGGGGACTCTGTGTCACCATCCTACAAGTCCATCATGGCCTCTTTTTTGTTCAACTCTGCATTCTACTGGACCGCAAAGACCACCTAACCAGACCAATGGCACCATCAAAGCCCTGGCTAACCCTGCTCCTGTTCCAGAGCCTCAAAGGGAAGCTGCTGTGGCTACCTTCCAATCCTCAGCTTCTGTCTCCCCTAAAGTTTCCTGCTCTAACACAGAGGATCTGTCCCCAGACTGTGTAATTGACTCCAATGGAACTGTGGTCCGCAGGCAAGATCTAAAGATCTTTGAGCAGGCTCTTAAGGCCAGAGCTGCATCCCCTTCTCGCCTCCTTGCCTTCTCAAAGAATAACAATCTGCAAAATGTTCCAACCCTCTCAAATCCTGTCTGAACCTTAACTGGACTAGTTGAAGCCCTGTCTGTTCGCCCCTTGTGGGGGGGAGGGGGAGGGGTGCTCTGTCACGGCACAGCCTGAGCCCTGCAAGGAATGGCCGCCTCTTTAAGAGATTTGGCTGCCCCTTTAACTGAAGCCCCCTGGTGGACAGCACGGCAGAGAACCTGACTGGGATGCTGGAGCTGTGAGATCAAACTCAGCCAGGTCTCTTAAAGGCGAAGCCAAATGATCCACCTGCAGCCCTTTTCCAATTAGGGTCAGCTGCACCTAATCAGCAATCTGTAAAAGCCAGCCCTGCTTGAAATCTAGTATCTGTTCATTTTGCCTGTTTGGTGTTTCCTGACGGATCTTTGATTTGCTATTGACTGATTTCCTGGACTCTGACCCACTGGAACCTGGAGCCTTGTCGTAGGTCCAGGGTGGGTAGGAGACGGCGAGACCCCAACCAAGCTCCGGCGGCTTGCAGTGGTTATGGTGCTCCAGCGTGCTTCGTCAGTACTAGGAAGCAGCGATTGACGGAGGTACCCGGTCGGATTGCAGTCGGTCCATCACATCCCCCCCTTCCTCTGGAATACCTTTGGGCATGAAGGGGAAATACTGATACGTGGTGGTCTCCATCTCCACCGGATGCAAAGCAGGAGCCTTCCTCTCAGGCACTGATGGTATCAGAGCATTACCGTGGAAACACGCAGCAACACTCTGAATGCTGATCTTACAAGAGAACTGCTCAGTATCTGCACCTGGCAAAGGTGCAGAACTGAAGTGCTCTGGGCCCCCTCCTCCACACCAGCCAGACACCGGACTGGTGAGGGAGATTCTCAGTCTCTTCAATAGAGAGACAAGGCTCCCATTCTAAGGGCGAGACAGCTGGAACAAAATCTCTCCCCTACCAGTGCGCTATAAGGTAGCGCAAGCCTTGGTTGTTGTGAGCTGGGTTGGCCTACTGGTGCCCTGTACGGCTGCACAGCTCGCACACTGCTAAGGCTTGACCTGTGTGCACTGGCACCCTTACAATGATGCTACCATCTTCCCATGTAGAAATGCCATAGACACCATGTTTTTTCACAAGTCACCATTTATACAATTTGATGGCCAAAATATGGAAAATACTGCTGGTAGTAAGTGAGGTTATAAATCAATCAAGCAGCATATAAATTCTACTACTTCAGGGTGAAATTTTCATGTGCTGCCAGACAACATTATAAAACAGTGTCTATGAAAATATAGTGAATATAGCAACCGTACCATGATGTCTTGAGCGCATGTACATTTCTGCGGACAATTTGTACTCGTAATGTTGTGGGGTAACATGCCACCCTTCCAACACTCCCATGCTATACATGCACGTTTACAGGCACATGGTAATGCATTTATATTATATGACAGGGTTCAAAATTTAAAATCCTGAGCTACTAGACTGTAGACCATGGGTAGTCAACCTGGTCCCTACCACCCACTAGTGGGCGGTTTGGGATTTCAGGTGGGCGGTGGTGGGTTCTGCAGAAAACGCCCAGTGGGCTTCAATGGCCGTGGACCAAGGCTGGCAAGGGAGATCCTTTCATCTCCCCTGACGGTCCATGCAGAGCCTTGCTGCAAGCCCTCTTGGGCTGGTGAGGAGATCAAAGATCTCCCTCACTGGCCCGCAGGCACTTCATTCCAGCAGAGGAAGGGAAGGGCCTGGGGGGCTCTGTGTTCCTCCAGCGAGCAGGCTGGTCAGAGCGTTGTCGTGTGTTACCATGGCAACGCTCCAATACAGTGCTGCACTCCCAGGAGGACAGGAGTGTCAGCCTGCAGCCAGAGGAGCTGCAGGCTAAAGTGAACATGCCACCACTGGACCAGCAGGGCTTGCAGCATTATTTCCCCCGCCATGGTAAAAGGTAAAAAGAAAGGAGGGGGAGACATTAACATAGATTTTTACATCCCACCCACACAAAGCATAGACCTTATGGACCCTTCACACACAACACCCCTTACACATACTGGCCCCTCACACACACTACACCCCTCCCACTCACTGACTCCTTCACACATGTTTTGCCCCTATCACACACTGCACCCTTCACTCACGTACAGCACCCCTCACACATAAACACACACAGCACCTTACAGACACATAAAAAAAGGGATAAATGTAAGTATATATTTTAAAAACGCACTTGCTCTATAAAGTTTGTTACTGCGACCCTGGTGGGCGGTAAAGAAATTTTATCATCAACAAACATACAAAAGTGGGCGGTAGGTAATAAAATGTTGACTACCCTTGCTGTAGACAGTCCTAAAACATATTCGCCAATGCAAGTCTGAGAAGTCACTAGCCAATTGCGAGTGGAAATTCTGAGCCTTGGTGCATGCCAGGTTGTGCCTTCACAGCCTGGCATGTGATATAAATGAAAATTAATGAGAAAACCTAGGTAGTTTCAAGAAAACACACACACAACTTTTATTTAGATACTAGGCTGGGCAAAAATCTCTTCAGAGAAGAAATCTAATCGCACACTGCGTTAATTCACTGAGGTTTGCAAGTTTAGGGCCAAAAGATCCAAAACATTACCTGCGATATTTTACAGCTCAAAATGTTTTGGCTTAAATTTTGCCATTACCTTATCAATCCTCCCCAATTCCCAATATACTGAATAATTGATTTCAAGTATTTTGCAAAATAAAAATAAAAAGTTGTTGTTACTCCTTGATCATAAACAGCAGACATGGAAAGAGAAACCAGGTTATTTGCTATATAATATAAAATAAGACATTAACACATTAGGCAGCATGTAACTCATTAAACAAGGGTTAACGAGACACACCGTGCTGTTCGCGGAATACGGAATACAGGGGAATGTGATAGAACACCGGGAGATGTGCTTCGAATGGCGAGGTAAGAAGGAGATGACGGTCTTATTGCTGAGGCATGCCGGGAGATGTAGTTCTCGTTGCCGAGGCATGCCGGGAGATGTAGTTCAGATACTGATCTCCCAGAGATCCTCTGTTCTGTAACCGGTCTGACCCGGACGCCCCTAGGGACTGTGTTTAATGCATCGTACACTGTGTTGTGGGCTGTTTATCGTCCCTGCCCGTAGCCGGTATGGAGCTGCTCACCCTAGACACCGTGTGGGGGGGCTCCAGCCTGGCTCTCACCTCTCTGTTCTATTACCTGTACCGGAAACAGCTGGCGACTGTGAGACGCATCCAGGTGATGATGTCCCATTTATTGACCACTGCCTATAGCAGACCTTCTTTGTGATGTCACTCCCTATAGCAGACCTTATACGTGATGTCACTGCCTATAGCAGACCTTCTTTGTGATGTCACTGCCTATAGCACACCTTATACGTGATGTCACTCCCTATAGCAGACCTATGTGATGTCACTCCCTATAGCACACCTTATACGTGATGTCACTGCCTATCGGAGACCTTCTTTGTGATTTCACTGCCTATAGCAGACCTTATACGTGATGTCACTGCCTATAGCAGACCTTCTTTGTGATGTCACTGCCTATAGCAAACCTTCTATGCGATGTCACTGCCTAAAGCAAACCTATGCGATGTCACTCCCTATAGCACACCTTATATGTGATGTCACTCCCTATAGCACACCTTATACGTGATGTCACTCCCTATAGCAGACCTTATACGTGATGTCACTGCCTATCGGAGACCTTCTTTGTGATGTCACTCCCTATAGCAGACCTTATACGTGATGTCACTGCCTATAGCAGACCTTCTTTGTGATGTCACTGCCTATAGCACACCTTATACGTGATGTCACTCCCTATAGCAGACCTATGTGATGTCACTCCCTATAGCACACCTTATACGTGATGTCACTGCCTATCGGAGACCTTATACGTGATGTCACTGCCTATAGCAGACCTTCTTTGTGATGTCACTGCCTATAGCAAACCTTCTATGCGATGTCACTGCCTAAAGCAAACCTATGCGATGTCACTCCCTATAGCACACCTTATACGTGATGTCACTCCCTATAGCACACCTTATACGTGATGTCACTCCCTATAGCAGACCTTATACGTGATGTCACTCCCTATAGCAGACCTTATACGTGATGTCACTACCTATAGCAGACCTTCTTTGTGATGTCACTGCCTATAGCACACCTTATACGTGATGTCACTCCCTATAGCAGACCTATGTGATGTCACTCCCTATAGCACACCTTATACGTGATGTCACTGCCTATCGGAGACCTTCTTTGTGATGTCACTGCCTATAGCAGACCTTATACGTGATGTCACTGCCTATAGCAGACCTTCTTTGTGATGTCACTGCCTATAGCAGACCTTCTTTGTGATGTCACTGCCTATAGCACACCTTATACGTGATGTCACTCCCTATAGCAGACCTATGTGATGTCACTCCCTATAGCAGACCTTATACGTGATGTCACTACCTACAGCAGACCTTCTTTGTGATGTCACTGCCTATAGCACACCTTATACGTGATGTCACTCCCTATAGCAGACCTATGTGATGTCACTCCCTATAGCACACCTTATACGTGATGTCACTGCCTATCGGAGACCTTCTTTGTGATGTCACTCCCTATAGCAGACCTTATACGTGATGTCACTGCCTATAGCAGACCTTCTTTGTGATGTCACTGCCTATAGCACACCTTATACGTGATGTCACTCCCTATAGCAGACCTATGTGATGTCACTCCCTATAGCACACCTTATACGTGATGTCACTGCCTATCGGAGACCTTATACGTGATGTCACTGCCTATAGCAGACCTTCTTTGTGATGTCACTGCCTATAGCAAACCTTCTATGCGATGTCACTGCCTAAAGCAAACCTATGCGATGTCACTCCCTATAGCACACCTTATACGTGATGTCACTCCCTATAGCACACCTTATACGTGATGTCACTCCCTATAGCAGACCTTATACGTGATGTCACTCCCTATAGCAGACCTTATACGTGATGTCACTACCTATAGCAGACCTTCTTTGTGATGTCACTGCCTATAGCACACCTTATACGTGATGTCACTCCCTATAGCAGACCTATGTGATGTCACTCCCTATAGCACACCTTATACGTGATGTCACTGCCTATCGGAGACCTTCTTTGTGATGTCACTGCCTATAGCAGACCTTATACGTGATGTCACTGCCTATAGCAGACCTTCTTTGTGATGTCACTGCCTATAGCAGACCTTCTTTGTGATGTCACTGCCTATAGCACACCTTATACGTGATGTCACTCCCTATAGCAGACCTATGTGATGTCACTGCCTATAGCAGACCTTATACGTGATGTCACTGCCTATAGCAGACCTTATACGTGATGTCACTGCCTATAGCAGACCTTCTATGCGATGTCACTGCCTAAAGCAAACCTATGCGATGTCACTCCCTATAGCACACCTTATACGTGATGTCACTGCCTATAGCAGACCTTCTTTGTGATGTCACTGCCTATAGCACACCTTATACGTGATGTCACTGCCTATAGCAGACCTTCTATGCGATGTCACTCCCTATAGCAGACCTATGTGATGTCACTCCCTATAGCAGACCTATGTGATGTCACTCCCTATAGCACACCTTATACGTGATGTCACTTCCTATAGCAGACCTATGTGATGTCACTCCCTATAGCAGACCTTATACGTGATGTCACTTCCTATAGCAGACCTATGTGATGTCACTCCCTATAGCAGACCTATGTGATGTCACTCCCTATAGCACACCTTATACGTGATGTCACTCCCTATAGCACACCTTATACGTGATATCACTGCCTATAGCAGACCTATGTGATGTCACTCCCTATAGCAGACCTTATACGTGATGTCACTGCCTATAGCAGACCTTCTTTGTGATGTCACTGCCTATAGCAAACCTTCTATGCGATGTCACTCCCTATAGCAGACCTTCTATGCGATGTCACTCCCTATAGCAGACCTTCTATGCGATGTCACTCCCTATAGCAGACCTATGTGATGTCACTCCCTATAGCAGACCTATGTGATGTCACTCCCTATAGCACACCTTATACGTGATGTCACTCCCTATAGCAGACCTTATACGTGATGTCACTGCCTATAGCAGACCTTCTTTGTGATGTCACTGCCTATAGCAGACCTTCTTTGTGATGTCACTGCCTATAGCAAACCTTCTATGCGATGTCACTCCCTATAGCAAAACTGCTATGTGATGTCACTCCCTATAGCAGACCTTATACGTGCTGTCACTCCCTATAGCAGACCTATGTGATGTCACTCCCTATAGCACACCTTATACGTGATGTCACTGCCTATAGCAAAACTTCTATGTGATGTCACTCCCTATAGCACACCTTATACATGATGTCACTCCCTATAGCAGACCTATGTGATGTCACTCCTTATTGCACACCTTATATGTGATGTCACTGCCTATAGCAGACCTATGTGTCGTCACTGCCTATAGCAAACCTTCTATGTGATGTCACTGCCTATAGCCAACCTTATACGTGATGTCACTGCCTATAACACACCTTATATGTGATGACACTGCTTATGTTAGAGCATACACGTGATATCTTTCCCTATACCAGGCCTTACAAATGATATCAATGCTAATATAAGACCTTACTCATGATATCACTACCAATATGTAACCATGTACATGTTATCACTATCTATGTTAGATATCACATGATATCACAGGTCTTGACAATGGAATCTAGGAGTCAGCTAAAAAAAGAGCTAGGAGCCATTTTTTTTTAAACTAACAAAGTTTAATTTTATTAAAGGACACAGAGGCGAGTAAGTATGCTTATTCTCTTTCTTTATTCCTCAGCAGCAAAAGAGAGAGATACTGTAAATATGCAACAACATTTAAATAATAACATAATTTACCCAAAAGGGTTAACCATAAATAACCTATTAACCAATGAGGGTTTCCCGGAATAATAGAGTCCCATGTGACCTTAAGCCACTCCTCTTTCTTTTGCTGTTGCCTCCTCAGCTAAGTACAATTTTTCTTCTCCTGTCATAATTTGGAAAAGTGTGTGTGTAAATTACACTGTTTGGGTTAATTACCCTTTATTACCTTTTAGTTAATCCATTTTATTCCATGGTTACTTTATTATTTCAGTGGTATTTATGTTTTCTTCATATTTGGGTTTGAAAATTGTTCTGCCTTGATATCTCCCCCTCTCCCTGTCCCCCCTCCCCCTCTGTCAAGTCAGTTTGTTTATTTTCCGACCGGTTCTCTCCTTCCTTGCTTTATTTGATTGTCTCATACCTGAGGCTCCCCTCTCACGCCGGGTAGCGTTCCTCTCCCCGGTCCCGGCGGATCGCCGCGGCTAGTGCCGCTCGCACATGCACACATCGCGAGTGCGCATCGCGGTGGCCATATTGCGATTGGCGATTTTGCCACGCTTTTACTAGCGCGGCCAATACCGCCCGCCTGGGGGCGGGAGTAGTCTGCTGTTACTAGGCAAGTCACCGGTGCTCCCCAGGACCTTATTCCTGAGGGAACACTCTGTGAGCTTGCTCTATTGATTTATTTGTGCCTAGTTTTATTACATTGGTGCCTGTAAAGCTGTTTCTTGCACTGCTATACTGTACAGCTACCTACTACAACTAGTAGTGCCCTATTTGAGCATAAAATTTTTCTGCCTGTCATTTAGCCATATTTTTGCAATCCAATAAAATGTCTGATATTTTTGGCTCTGCCACCATAACCCCTGACCCCCTTCCTGAGTCCAAAACTCCTGCAGCCATTGAAGTGTCACAGGATCAAACGGACTGAGGAGTTACATTCCCTCCTGGACTTTGTTATGATGAAATCTGTGACACAGGCCATATTTAACGCTATGGGGGCCATGTCAGACAATATCTCACATTCAATTACGATGGCGCTGAGATCCACTCAGCTGATACCAACTCCCACTACTAACCCACCTGAGTATAAACCGGTAGCCCCTAGTGGGCGTAAAGCCGCAAACAAGTCCCGCCACCTGGACGACTGCCTCCAAAACATTACAGACGGACAGGGTACATCCTTTCACAGATCATGTGGTTGCACCACAACTAAGAGCCCCCGACCGGGCAAAATTGGTGAGGAACTGGAAAAGGGCTAGAACCCTCATTGAATCCTCCGAATCTGAGTCGGAGCAACAGGAGGCACAGATCGAGTCCGATGAGGAGGACTCTGATGATCCCAGCACTTATTTTCCAGAACACAGTTCCTTGACAGGTGCTGGAACAGACCCCAAAAATGGAGTGGACGAGTCTGCCCTGGTTGACCTGCAGGGCGAACCACTGTTTGACCCCGACACCTTACAACACCCGAGATCCTCGGAGTGGTATCCCCTAGAACAAGTAGCGAAATATATCGCTGCTCGTATTAGAAAACCACTTGACAAGGTGGCACGAAGCAAACCTTTCCCCACTATTCCCGATATGGCATGCGCCACCCCGACGTAGACCCAAAGATTGCCCAATTCTTGGGGAAGTCGGGTTGGAAAGCCAAAAAAGGCCTGGATTTTGCCTGGCGGAATTGACAGGATAAGGTTCTGGATGTTCTAGGACCAATTGCAAAAATGTTTGACATGGTCGAAATCGCACTGACAGGTGGTACATTGGTGGATTTAGAAGCCCTCAGTGGGTGGATCCAGCGAGCCGTATGTCTGCTGGGCAACGTCAATACGGCGGTAGCCACTGAAAGGCGCAAGGCAATCCTGATAAAAATAGAGCCCAAGCTAGTGAACCTAGCTATTTCAGAGCCTGGACCCCAGGCAAAAGCCCTCCTGTTTGGATATAGTTTTGTTAAGGAGCTAGGCACATATGTAGGCACCTTTGCAGCACTTGATAAAGCTCAAGCCAGCATGAAACAAGTGTTCCAACAGAGAGTTTTTGGCGGGGCCGGCAGATATTGGGGCCGTCTGCTCGGCTGATCACCCCGGGGTTCATACCAGGGCTATCGAGGCCCCATACAGTCCAGGCTTACAACACCTGAGTCCAGAACTACCACACCGTTCTTCCCAGTCCGGGGTAGACCATGGCAGTTTCGAGGACCCAGAGGTTCTTCCTATGGCAGATGACCTTATGGTAAGTCCAATGCCTCTGCATCTGGCCTCATTAACTATGGTGGGGGGCAGACTGTGTCACTTTATCAGCGCATGGCGCATGCTCACTGCAGATGCATGGATCCTTCATGCTGTTCAAGGTTACAATACCCTGTACAATACCCTGTTCAAATGCAGCCCCCCAACCGCATGGTGTTCCCCATCCACGACCAATACCAGATATCTCAAGAAGTCCAGGCCTTAGCCTCCAAGGGTGCAATTTCAGAAGTTGACCCTCTCACACCAGATTTCTTAAGCAACCTCTTCCTGGTCCTCAAAAAAGGCGGATGCACCCATCCTGTCATAAACTTACAACCCCTAAACATGTTTGTCACATACCATCACTTCAAGATGGGAGGTATACACTCTCAGAGATCTCCTACTTACAGGGGACTGGATGGTCAAACTCGACTTGAAGGACGCGTACCTCACGGTCTCTATGGCCGACGAATGCCAAAACTTCCTACAGTTCCAATGGAAAGAGACCTTATGGCAATTCAAATGCCTACCGTTCGGCCTATCGTCGGCACCATGGTGCTTCACAAAGCTAATGAAACCAGTGGTCGCCCTCCTTCGCAGCAGTGAAGTTCGACTCATAATATACTTGGACGATATCCTCATAATGGCGCAGGACCCTCATCTGCTCCACGAACATTTTTCCTGGACAAGGACTCTACTAGAAAATCTAGGTTTTCTAATCAACTGGGAGAAGTCGTCACCAAACCCTGTCAATCAATAGAATTCCTGGGATTCACCATCGATGCTGTGAACGGAGCACTCCTACTCCCAACAGCCAAAGTCAAATCCATCAAAAAGGAAATAAGGCGGACGTTAGCATGTCCTGTTCTTACCTTGAGACAACTGGCCAGGATTGTCTGCCTCCTCTCAGCATCAATCCAAGCCATATTCCCCGGCCCTCTGCATTACAGAGCACTCCAACGACTGAAAGCCAAATCTTTTAAGTATATCGACCAATTGCTCCATATTGTCCAGCCATGGACAATATATCAGCGGTCCGCTATATCAACCACCTCGGGGGCGCGAAGTCAACAATACTAACGGAACTAACGAAAGGTTTCTGGCAATTCTGTCTGGACCACAACATCTCGGTATAAGCAGAGTACATTCCGGAATGTCCAACGTAGTGGCGGATTGGAATTCCAGACACCTACGAGATGCCAGCGACTGGCTACTGAACCCTGTCGTCTTCAGCCATTTACAATCACTCTGGGGTCCCTTGGACATCGATCTGTTCGCATCACGCTTGCACACACATTTGCTGAAGTTTTTCAGCTGGAGATCGGATCCGTAAGCTCTAGCGACGGACGTTTTCCTCCAACCGTGGCCGAATGACCGCCACTACGCCTTCCCTCCTGTCTCCCTCCTTCCTCCCTCATTGCATGAACTCTACTGCATCTCAGACGTCACCGAACCTCCTTGATCCTCATAGCCCCCTTTTGGACGTCTCAGCCCTGGTTCCCTGCGCTCATGGAAATGTCCATAGACCTCCCGAGGTTACTGCCGATGACAGTCAACCTCGTACTGGATTCCGACAGGAACTTACATCCCCTTCTACTTCAGGGACATCTCAAGCTCTTGGTATGGCTCCTCTCAGGGGACCCTGCTACATCCCAAATGTTCCACAAGCAACTCTGGACCTTCTGGCAGGGGCTTGGGCCCCAGGAACGAGGAGGTCATACCTACATGCCTGGAACGCATGGAATAGTTGGTGCATGGAACAACACATATCTGCAAATGTGAGTCAGGTTCTAAGTTTCCTTACTTCACTCTTCGACCATGGCCTGGCATATCGTACAATCAACCCATATAGATTAGCTATTTTGGCAGGCCATCAAGGCTGGAATGGACTCCAGGCAGGAAAGCACCCAGTGGTATGTCGACTTCTACATAGCATCAAGTTTGCACGCCCACCAAGACCTAAATATACAGCCTTGTGGGATGTTGGCCTAGTTCTCCGACTTTTTGAAAATTGGCCAAAGAATGAGGACCTTTTGATTAAGCAGCTCATGGCTAAATTGGTTACGCTGTTATGTCTAATCTCCTGTAAACGTGTCTCGGATGTCCCAGCACTGGACCTCACGGCACACTCATTTACACCAGAAGGTGTCTCCCTTCGACATCAAGACGTACTAAGACATCCATTACATCAGTCTTCTACCCAGCTTTTCCACATAACATTAATCTATGTCCAGTACTCTGCCTCAAGGAATATGAAATAAGGACCGCCTCAATTCGTGATTCCCGGTATCTGGATCTGTTTCTGGCACTCCAACAACCTCACCATCCGGTTTCTACAGTTACCATATCTCGCTGGGTTAAATGGATCATGGAGTCGACTGGCATTGATATCTCCACGTACGGAGCGTACTCAGTGAGGGGTGCTATGGCATCAAAAGCCTTTTCTCTCGGTTGTAGACTAGAAGACCTCCTCCATGCAGCTGATTGGTCCAGCGAATCTACGTTCTGGGAATTTTATTTCAGACCAATTTCTCATTTTTCCACTTCAGTGATCTCGCAGCTTTGAACTAGCATAATTGGAGCCTCCGTGTGCCTTTAATAAAATTACCAGATTTTACTAATTTCATGACGTAAAGTCATGATTTTATAAAGGACACGGAGGCGAGTATTATCCCGGCTAATCCAGGTAAGTGGCGCCCTCCCTGTGAATAGACTGTCATATAACGGGCACGAGTCGTGTAATAATGTGATTTTGTTTTTCACCTGATGACTAGTACTGAATTGACAGATTGGTTTCTGGTACCTAAGGTCGTAATATAATATGGAAACAATATCCAAGAACATATTTTACCATTTCATTTCTTGTCTTACAGCCTCCTAATTGGGTTGTCATTCTGGTCCATGCCTGCCCATGAAAGTTTCATTCAGAAGGCTGCCAGTTTTATTCGGAGCTCCGTTGCTTGAATTTTCCTGGGACTCACGGTTCTGCACATCTATTGGTTACATCGTTTCTGTTTGAGGAAGTGTTAATCGACAACATCAAAAGAAAGAGGAGTGGCTTAAGGTCACATGGGACTCTATGCTGGGATCACTCTCATTGGTTAATAGGTTATTTATGGTTAACCCTTTGGGTTAAATTTTGTTGAATATTTACAGTATCTCTCTCTTTTGCTGCTGAGGAATAAAGAAACAGAATAAGCATAATACTCGCCTCCGTGTCCTTTATAAAATCATGACTTTACGTCATGAAATTAGTAAAATCTGGTCATTTTCAACAAGAAAAATGCAATTCTTAAAGGGACATTGCTGCCTAGTAACGTATCTAGAGACAGTCACTCAAACAGCCACTAGAGAATTCTGGGTCTGCATGGAAGCACTGAATGTTCCCTATAGAGATGCATTTATTAATGGGATTTGTCGAACCCTGTGATATCATCCTCTATACCAGAACATATATGTGATGTCACTGCTAATATGAGACCTTATATGTGATGTCACTGCCTATGTTAGTTCATACACATCATATCATTCTCTATACCAGACCTTATACACAATTTCACTGCAAATACCAGATGTTATACATGATCATCCCTACACCAGTCCTTATACTTGATATCACTGCCAGTACCAGACCTGATAGATTATATCTCTGGCTATAACCTTATAAATTAAATTGCTGCATATACCATTCTGTATAAATGATATCACTGTCAATATGAGACCTTATATATGAAATCACTTCCTCTGTTATTCTCTACACTGGATCTAATAGCAATGTCACTGCAAATACCAGACACTATACTTGATTTTCCCTATACCAGTCTTTATACTTGATATCATTGACAATACCAGACTTTATAGATGTTATTGCTGTCTTAAACAACACCTTATGTATGAAATATGATATTGCTGCCTATCATTGGCTATAAACATATTATCAGTATTATTCACTAAAATGAGAATTGCCAGAAAGTGAATTTTAAATTTAAGGCCAAAATAGCCAAATTGAAGACAACTTTACTTGTATAATGTTTTAAGTTTGTTTGTTAGGCGTAAATTGTGAAATTCACTTTGAATTCCCAGCAATTCTCACTTGAGTGAATAACTCTGCATATGTTATATCACTGCCCATACAAGACCTTATAGATGATAAATTTGTCTATTACAAAACTTTATACATCTCTATAATATCACTGCATGTACCTGCCCTTATATGTGGCATGTGGTGTGACTGACTATACCATAACTTATAGCTGATAACACTGTCAGTTACAAGACCTTGCATACGATATCCCTGCCTGTCCTGGACTGAGTCTCTCCAGGCATTGATAATATACTGATATCACTGCTTACACCAGACCCTCAGTCTGTCCAAACCCTGCTATACATTATACCATTGTCTTTCTCATTACAACACATATTCAGTGACCTCTCCTTTCAGGATGCCCCAAAGATGCAGGTGGATGGTAACCTGAGGAGTACACTGGAATCCCTACATGGACAGGAAATCAGTTATGTGGCTCTGGAGGGTGCGTACTACTTATTAGCAATTTCTAAATGTTGTGTCGATTGAGTGGTTTCATTGAATTACGTCAGTGCTGTAACACACAAGTCAGTGTTGACTAAAACTAGGAACACTTGTTTGTAAATTACACTTGACATGGCATCTGGAGTGCCAAGGTTAATTGTCACTGACTTAGGAAATCTTGCGTAGTCCTGGGGACATGGAGTCCAGAAACGTTATAGATAGTCTCTTGGTTGATCCTCTTTGTTCACACGTCATGACTGCTATGATTACCATTGTACTTAAAAATTACTTATTGAAAATAATAGGTATAAATATAGATCTGATGATATATTTCCCCGCGACTGACGGATAGAAATGGATATATAAGACAGAAAAAAAGGAAGGGAAAAGGGAAAGAAATGAGAAAAAGAGAAGACTGTATTAAGAAATAAAACCAAAAGGATAGACTGCAGAGGGGGAAAACTACTTACTGTACTTAACTGTTTAGTGTATGTCGGTTCGAATGTGTATAGTTATGGAAGGGTTTTTTGCATTTATGTTGTCTTTTTTTGTGTGTCATGAATTTATATATATATTGATATTTTATTTATTTCCCCCCTCCCTCTCGCAATCTAAACTGTCAATTAAGTAAATAGCAAGAGCAGTGTATATATACTGTAATACTGATAATTGGTTGAGGGCTATATATGTATGTTGACTAGGAATATGTTATATCTAATGACTAGGAAACAGGAGGGGAGGAAAGGAGGAGAGAAGAGAGGGTAACAGATATAATATTCATGATGACAATTATACCAAAGCCTTAAACAAAGAAGCACTATAAACTTTTCTTAGGCTGGTATTCACTGAAGAAAAAAAAGAAAAAAAAAAACATGAAAAATTACTTATTATTGTGAGAGAACCATTTTTATGAGTTTTTTGCAATGTGAGGATTAGACTTCAAAAATGGGTATAACTGCAGATGGTTTGCCAGACTATGCCTAACTCCCAAAATTTATACTTAAGTATAACTACTAGAATAATGATCAGTGCACATCATGTAAATTGCTTTAATTAGAGTCTGCCAGGCTAGGTCTGATCCTATCTAGAATGACCTTTACTTTCCTGGGTAAATCATGCAGCACTTAAGGGTGCACTATAGTATCAGGAACACAATGGTGTATTCATGACACTATAGTTCTAAAATCATGTTTATGTGGTTTGCCTCCCTTACCTTGGGTTACATATGTAATTTACTCATCTTTTTTCAGCGCTGCGTGGGGCTCCTTGCATCTGACCCCGCCTCCTAAGCCGAAATAGTCAGAATTTCCCAAAGTATTGGCTGAGATCGTCAGTTCTACAAATCTCAGCCAGGAGGTGGGTGGGGGGCAGAGCCAAATACAGCACTGGCCAATCAGCATCTCCTCATAGAGATAAATTGAAACAATGCATCTCAATGGGAAAGTTCAGCATCTCCATGCAGAGTGTGGAGACGCTGAACGTCCTTACACTGCCCCAGGAAGCACCTCTAGTGGCATCTGAGGAGTGGCTACTAGAGGTGTTCCTAAGCTGTAAACACTTCCTTTTTTAGGAGAAAAGACCATGTTTACATTAAAAAGCCTACAGGGACTAACTATATTCACCAGAACAACTGCAATAAACTAGTTGTTCTGGTGACTATAGTGTCCCTTTAGCTACAAAAGGTTTATTTTCATACTAGGATATATATATATATATATATATAACAAACACACGACTCAGGCACTCACCCAAAAAAATATGTCACTATAACCGGGTGCTTCCAGCGCTTATGTAGAAAGTAAATAAATAGAGCACTCCTAGGGAAATTTCTAAAAGTGTATTAAAGTACAAAATCAATGTTTCAACCCTCCTGGGTCTTTATCAAGATCAAATAACAGTACATACAGTGCATCAATATATATCGTAACAGATTAGTGACTTACCGAAGGTGTGTGATCACGCCCATCAGTGCTCCTGAACTCTGAAGTGATCATCCCTTGTGCGCGTGCACATGCGCATTAGCGTAGTGTGTGCGTGAACGTGATTGACGTGCTCAACGTGTGTGTGGGGGAGTGTTCTGCCGGCGTGTAACCGTAACCATAGGAACCAGTGTTAATATCTCCTGTGTGAACTAGTGACAGGAGAGCGGAAGATTTGGAGGCTATAGGCGAGCAGTGCTGAAATATGACATATATGTAAAAAACAGCGTGACTCATTAAAACATTCTAAATAAAGAAGGATCCCAAGTACAGAAGGGGGTCTGAAAGCAAATAGTAAAGAATAATATATAATTGATCTCAAACCAGATCTAAGAGAGGTGGCTAAGAAAAGGCTGGAGAAATAGGTAGCAAGAGAGATACACAAAGAAATAGGAAATAAAAAAAGGTGAAAAAAAAAATATATATATATATATATATGGAAGGCGTGGCCTGAAGTTGTGGGAGGGGCTTGGTTCCCCTTCTTAAGGAGCATCAACCCTTCCCTCATTACCTGTTGGGTCTGGCGAATTGTTGGTAGAGAGATCGTCACTTCCGGTTGTTTCTGGCGCCATTCTACTTACCTGTTTCACCGTGGGTAGCTTCCTGGGTCCCAACAAGTGCTGTCCCATCCTGTTCCGCCCGTCTGGCTTCATTTCCTGGCCGGGCGTTTCGCTGCGCTTTCGTTACAGCAAAATCGTAAGTTTACGGCCGTCGCAATTTCGGCGCGGCCGTTTTACGTCATCCTAATTGTACAGTCGCACACGTGGAAACTCTTCGGTAAATATTTATACGAATACCGGCGTTCGGTTTTCTGCTTGTATACGCATAGCATGTTACATTTTAATTCGTATAGGGCAATTCGCTACATTCATATTATGCCCGTTCGTTTGCCGAAAGCTGCTTCACTTTATTGTTACAACTTGTTGTATGCCCTAGGGCGACCTCTGGTGGCTGGTTCATTGTCACTGATTTCTCTCTCAAAATACATTCCACGACCCCTGGTGGTTATTAAAGTTATGGCAGCTGGTACAAGTAAATGATATTTTCAGTTATGATTATAAGATATCTTATGCTGGTTAAAGTTTGTTGGGCAATTCGTTAAATATGTTTTATTAATTAAATTGAACAATGCATTTACACTCAGTCACCTTATGACTATTTCGTATGCCGAATCTCTAGTCTTGTATGTGGTATAATTATGATATGCACTAAGAAGACCACTGGTGGTCGGTTTTCAGTACTTTTAGTTGCTTGCACAACCCTGCTGATCAGAAAGGTTATATTCACGACCTCAATCATTTGTAAGATTACAGTTTCAGTAGTCCAGTGTTGTATGCATTGTATGAGTATCAATATAAGGACATTTTGTCATGACATACTTAACGGTCTATTAATTAGAGACCTCTTGTTTTCAGTGTTCTACATTAATTCCTCTGGGTTCCGCTACCCCACCACTGTTTCACTCTACATAGGTCTGTTCCTATATTTAAATATACCTTCATGGGTCACGCCAGACCAGATTCCTCAAAGATTTTTCTATATTACTAGGTATAAGCATCCTAGCACTGCGTAGTATTCAGGTCCCAGTCACCTAAACTGTTGGAATATTATTTATAGGTATCTGATCAGCAGGGGGTCAAGGGCTACATATTTCAACCCTTACGAACTCATGTTAATCTCGTAGGTTACTACAGCTCACCTGGGTCACGTGTCCTACTTTCTGCAAAATTCACTACTAGTGAAGTACTACTGGTAGGTATCAGATTAGCTGGGGATTTAGGGGCACAATTTCGTTTTATTTTACCCATACAAACGTCAATTACTCTTGTAGATTACGACAGATCTCCTGTACACTTCTTCTCATACTATCTGGCAACTTACTCAACAGGTACGTCACGTTTCGACTACTTCTCCCTCCCTACCTACCTTTAGGGTTTATACAGATACTGGCAAGAAATAGGACCCACTAGGTATGTTTTTCTGGCCTTCTACGCCTTACGTTAGTGGTCCCGCGAGGCCTACACCCATCCTCAATTCGGAGGTACGGCATCCCCTCGGGCCCATTCATAGCTAGCCGCCTCGCTTAGTTGCATAGAGAGGGCCTCACTTGTCACTCCCATTCTGTCTTATGCCTTTACAAGTCACAGAGAGGCCACCACCCTGCCATAATGCCAATGGCCACGTATCCCACACGCGCCAAATCATAGATAGTGCCTCTCAAGGCCGCTTGGCCACTAGTAGGGCCTCATCTGTCACGTCGCTTGATAATTCTTCGCCGCTTGGCATTTAGTGATCAATAGCCAGTTGGGTAGCCCCAGATAACATACTATTTTATGTTGTAGCATGTCACAAGTTCCTGAAGAAAGGGAAGATGTGTCCATCGCCAGTACACCGGCTAGATCGGTCACTCCATCGCGGGGTGACGACAACGCAAGCCCTGCATCACTCAGGGCGTGGACTGTTCCAAGAATAACGGCTGAATTAAGGAAGAGAAATATTCCGTTCCCTGCTACAGCTAGGAAAGCTGAGTTGTACAGACTATTAAATACCCAGACTGATAACTCTGGGGCAGGGGAAGGATCCAGCGGGAACCATTCCTCAGATCTGCAGTCAGTTTTGTCGTCAGTCCTGACCTCTTTGGGTCGTATTACGGACAAACTGGACAAAATGGACGCAGATAGCCAGCAAAGGTCGCCTGCTACTGCAGGGAGCCCAGTTGCTGCAGTATGCTTGGACCCTCTACCGGGTAATTTACCAACTAGCTCTAAAGACCCACATATAATTAACCCAGCACACATGGTACCTGCTAAAACCAGAAAGGACATCTTGGAAGGAAAGGATATCAATCTGGTATCACTTTTGATTGCCTCACAAGATGTCCTTGAGAATAAGACATATGCATATGGGGATGTGTCAGTAGTTCTCAAGTCCAGAGATCCCAGGCTGAATCAAAAGCTTTCCATTCCAGAATTTGTACTGGCCTTCGGTATATACAGGGACGTCCTATGCTCTGTATATCCAGATAGGAGGGAAGAATTGGACCTTTACCTCCACAAGCTGGTGGATTTGGGGCACAAGTACGGTGGTACGTCATTTTACGACTACCACCGTGCTTTTTCCGCAAAGGCGTCGGCCACCCTAGCACAGTTCAATATTCAGGCTGATTGGGGTGTGCTTGATACTGAGCTGTTTTGTCGGCACTTTGCGGGCCTGAAAACTCCAGCTTGTGCCATTTGCTCATCCAATTCCCACACGGCTAATTTATGCCCTAATTCTCCTGAGGTGAATGCTGCTTTTTCACCTGCTAATGTGGTACCCACAGGGAGGTCTGGCAGGGTGTTTAAAGACAAACTAGGCCGTGATATTGTGTTCTTGGGCAAGTCACAGGTCTGTAACAATTTCAACACCGGCTCTTGCGGTTACAGTGCCTGCAGACTTCTGCATGTCTGTTCAATCTGTTTCAGGGCTCACGCCAAGGCAATGTGCCCTAATAAACTATTCCCTAAGCAGTATCAAACGTCTCTTCATGTCTCCCTACTGAAAGAACTTTTACGTAATCATCCATCACAACATCTCGTTGACTTTTTGGTGACAGGGTTTACGATGGGCTTTCACACGGGTATTGTGCACATGCCTACAGGGATCCTGGAATGTAAAAACTTACAAACAGCTCTAGCAGCACCCGACACTATCAACTTACTCATTCAGAAGGAAATGGACCAAGGTTTCTTGTTAGGCCCTTTTGACTCCCCGCCGTTCACGGTTTGGAGAACTAATCCCATAGGACTGGTCACTAACAAATCCTCACAAAAACAAAGGCTAATTCTCGACCTGTCAGCCCCCCATGCATCTCCTACTCCAAGCCTAAATTCATTAATACCGTCTGAAGAATTCTCCCTCCAATATGCTAACATAGATAACGCAGTCACAGCCATCCTCGCAGCCGGAGTAGGGGCATGGCTATGTAAAACGGATATTGTGAACGCTTTCAAATTACTCCCGATTCATCCATCCCTATGGCATTTACATGGGGTTAAGTGGCAAGGCTCCTATTACTTTTTCACTCGTCTCACGTTTGGTTCAAAAAGCAGCCCCAGGATCTTTGATATATTTGCGGAGACGCTGTGTTGGATGCTGCTTAACCTCTGTAAATGCCCCACAGTTATCCATTACCTGGATGATTTCCTGACCGTAGAAAGTAACTCAGCACCTCCTACTAGCCTCCAGTCAATCACACGACTGTTCACGATTAGGAGTTCCGGTATCACCGGCAAAGACTGAAGGTCCCGATACTATAATCAATTTCTTAGGGGTTGTACTTGACTCCGTGAACATGCAGGCTAGCCTCCCCAGGGAAAAGATCGAACGCATCCTGGCAGCCATCGACCTTTACTTGGGAAAAGGCTCATGTAATAGGAAGGAATTGCAATCCCTGCTGGGTTCATTGAATTTCGCAATGAAAATTATTCCACAGGGGAGAGCATTCATTTCCAGGTTGCTTAGCCTGTTTCCAATGTTTCCAACTGACGCATCCCGCATTTCACTAGACATACATGCAAAAGCTGACCTTCGTATGTGGAAGGAGTTTTTGCTAAACTGGAACGGGAAAAGCATTTTTATCCCGGTTTGGTCAGAAAATTCGGTATCACTCTGGACAGATGCCGCAGCCACTTCTGGATTTGCCGCTATTTGGGGCAACAAATGGATGTATGGTAAATGGCCAGGAGAGATTACTGAGATCCCCAGGTTTAAGGAAACTTCAGCACTATTTGAGCTGTATCCTATCGTAGCGGCAGCAGTTAAGTGGGGAGCAGGCTGGTCTGGGAATACGGTTCGTTGCTTCTCAGACAACATGGCTACATGCCATGTTGTAAATAAGGGACGTTCCTCTTCCTTGGCCATCATGAGGTTCATGAGGACTCTCACATGGCTGGCCGCTAAACACAGTTTCCTTTTGTCTTGCTTTCATGTGCCTGGTTTTCTCAATATTGCAGCTGATCACTTATCACGGTCTCGGTTTCAGGAGTTCCGGGAAGCCCTTCCAACAGCTGCCCTAATACCAACTCCGGTACCACAGTGGCAGGAAATGGTCTGGGACTAAAAGAGCTGCTATGTCATGGGCGGCAACTCTCACAGCTCGGTCTTTCTGCTAATACTAGGAAGGCATATGGTAGAGCTTTTGATGTATTTAATAAATTTTTGTTGGACTTTAATATTGTTGACCAGTTTTCCATGGAGACCATTATTGCTTTCATCTCCTTTTGCCACCTTCATCTAACATTGTCATACAACACCATTAAATTGTATATCACAGGTATTCAGCACCACATACTCACTTCTTGGCCTAACAAACAACGCTTTCTATCCTCCTACCAAGTAAAAGCTATACTTAAAGGTATCAAAAACTCCACTCCTACACCCTCACCTGCTAGACTACCCATCCACGATCTATTATTCCAGGCACTATCAAATCTACTAGACACCTCACCATTCGAAGGTCATACCAATCGTGTTATTAAAACAGCCATCTATCTCGCATTTTACGGTTTTCTGCGACCCAGAGAATTCACCACCACTAGCGTTAACTCACTCACCTTCATCACTAGATCCGATCTTATAAAGGTGCACGATCACTATCAACTATCCCTACACCACACCAAAACTAGCGCCAAAGGTCAGACAGTCATTATACCCTATTACCCCACTAGTAATATCTGGTGTCCGGTGGAAGTTTTTGACACGCTTCTGGCTTTCTGTAATATGGCTCCCACACAGCCACTCCTATCCTTGCACGGTAATGTACTCACTACGAGCAAATTCATGATGTATGTTAGGATGTTGTTGATCCGGCTAGGTTTGAACCCAGCCAGCTATTCCGGACACTCCTTCCGCATAGGAGCCGCAACGACAGCTTCAAAAAAGAATATACCAGCTCACGTTATCAAAATATTAGGCCGATGGAAATCCACAGCATATACCCGCTACATTCCCCAGCCTGTACAAGAAGTACGCCTGGCTTTCAAAACCATGAATATGTAATGTGTAGTGTCGAGTTATGATACAATAAATGGTTATATCTTTTTGCCCTCTTTTTTCAGGCCTACTTCCTCGTCAGTTCCGGCACACCACAACTGACCTTTCCATTCTATGTTTGTCTTATGTCAATAATACGACGGCTTATGCCATGACCACAAATGGAAGGCGTGGCCTGAAGTTGTGGGAGGGGCTTGGTTCCCCTTCTTAAGGAGCATCAACCCTTCCCTCATTACCTGTTGGGTCTGGCGAATTGTCCCACCCACCACACCACTTTTATAAGCATTCTATAAGGTAGGCCCTCTTTTTTCAGGCCTACTTCCTCGTCAGTTCCGGCACACCACAACTGACCTTTCCATTCTATGTTTGTCTTATGTCAATAATACGACGGCTTATGCCATGACCACAAATAAATATATACTGAAGGTGTAAAAAATGTGAATGTATATACACAATGATGAAAAAACGTGAAAAAAGAGCAAAAAAAATGTCAGCAAGTCTAGTATGTGAGTAATGTGTGTAAGGTGCAATAAGGTGTCTAATCTATGGAAAATGTGTGAAAGAAATAGAACTAGAATAAAAAATAGATAAGAGTGCAGAGAAGAGCCCCCTCCTGCCCCCCCCCAAAAAAGAATAAGATGTCATAAAACCTCCTGCCTCTATAACCGTGACCAAATATATACATATATACAATAAACCACCTATAAAGTAATAATATAGGCAATTAAAGCAAAAACATAACCAATAAGGTAATATATAAATGTTTAAAGGAAAGACACAGGATACCCCCAAAAATACTGGTGTCCTCTTGTGTCAGGGAACTCCCTATCATTAGTTGTAACTGGAATACAATCATAAACATTTAAATATTACTATATGGATTTGGCGCTTTCAAACAAGCCCACATGTACGAATATTTCCAAGATGAGATGAGCATAACAAAAAAATGTAAAAAACTAGCAACAGAAAAAGAGAATTAATCCTAAACAAGGCAAAGACTACAGCGGTGACCTCAAAAAGTAATCCCCTAGATACTATAGGGGAACCAGATACCAAATAAAATCCTCTCCCCCCCCCCCAAAAAAAGTAACAAATGTAGCCTAATTAAATACCCAAAAAACATAATATATGACTCATCTGGTTTCAAAAAATTATTTATTTATTATTTATTACTGCTATTTATAAAGCGCTAACAGAATTAAAGGATATATATTCATTTAAACCTTTTGGTTGAACAGTATCTAATTGTCGCATCCAGAATGTTCCCTTCTGCAGCAAAAGTTTGGAGCGGTCACCTCCTCTGGGGAGTTCTGGTATTCTATGAATACCCATAAATTTCAGCGTAGGTAATCTATGTTGGAGTTGGAGGAAATGTTTTGCTACCGACTTGTCCGTTTTTCCATCCCTGTATGCTGTCATGATGGCCGATCTATGTCCCTGCACTCTATCTCTTAATGTTAAATCCGTTTTGCCAACGTAAAACAAACCACAAGGTCAAGAGAAGAGGTATATAACATGATCCGATTGACATGTGATATAATGTGAGATCTTGTATCGTCTACCCATGTGCGGGTGTGCAAATGTCGTACCAACCAGCATATGTCCGCAAGTCACACATCCCGTACATTAGTAACATCCCTTCTTTCTTGTCTTGGTGGGAATTTCTTTTTCAGATGGTAGATCAGTATGCATAAGTAAATCTTTGAGATTCCTATTACGTTTATAGGCTATTCTAGGCGGTCTTCTGAATATATTGCTCAAAGATTGACCGGATGTCAATATATCCCAATGTTTTCTAATATTTGTAGAGATGTTGTAACTGCCAGAATGGAATGTCATGGGTACAGTAATTTGTGCTTCTTCATCATTGGACTTCTTGTCCCCTTTAGGGTAAATATCCAATGCTTTGTTAAGCGCTTTTTGGAGTACTGGTTGACGATACTCCCTTTGCCAAAATTATGTTCTCATGTCTTCTATTTGGTTTTTTGATTCGTCAAATCAGAATTATACCTAAGTACCCGGAGAAATTGAGAAATGGGGAGTGATTTCTTTAACCCCTTAAGGACACATGACGTGTGACATGTCATGATTCCCTTTTATTCCAGAAGTTTGGTCCTTAAGGGGTTAAAGATGGTGGATGAAAACTATTAGCATGTAATAATGTGCATCTGTCCGCCGGTTTTTTGTATAGTGTATATCCAATACCTGCTTCTGCGCTATACACTTCCACATCCAGGAATTGAATCCTCTCCGTGGTACAATTAAGGCTCAGCTTGATGCTTGAATCCTCCTGGTTCAGATCCCCAATCATGTTTACCAACTGGTCTTGTGACCCAAGCCAGATTAGAAAGATGCTGTAGACAAATCTATGATACGTCAGTAACTTGTCTCCGTATGGTGTAGTAATTTTGGATCTTTCAAACGTGCATAAAACAATTGGCGTACGCCGGTGCTATCGCTGAGCCCATTGCATTACCCGTTTGTTGTAAATAACGTCGAAACATTGATTTTGTACTTTAATACACTTTGAAAAATTTCCCAAGGAGTGCTCTATTTATTTAGTTTCTCTCTCTAAATAACTCTCTCTCTCTCTCTCTATCTATCTATCTATCTATCTATATATATATATATATATATATATATATATATAATGTTGCAGTCCGTGTTCTAGGCTTCCCCTAGTGGCATTACTTGGTGAGTCTTTCTTAAATTGTAAAATTAGCTAAAACTTTTTTCTTGACCTGTATTTATATAGTTAACACTATGTCTACAAAACACCTTTTTTGCGATGGGAAACAGTATCGTGTTGGCAAATGCCTGGGGCCTTGTGACGAAGGGACTTAATTTTGGGTCAGAAATAAGTTATAAATAACTACTAGGCTGTTATAATGTACAGTAGTGTGTAATGATGTTTTATTCGAATCTCCGAAGAAGGCCATAAATGGAATAAAGCTAATGAACTTTCTATTGAATAAAGCACCTTTGGATAAGTTTAGGATAATCACCCTTGGTTTGTAAATCAGATGGATGATCTGCATTATATACTATTGACTTAACAATACTAGAGCTAAAAATAAATCACAAGATCCAGTACCACGACTTTTAATAGAACATAGATACTACTTGTGTGTCTTTGTGTTCTTCACTTGTGTGGTGTGAATCTATATGCTGCGAATACTCTTTGTTAATCTGCCCTTCTGTTTTTCAGGTGTGGTAGAAGCTGCAGGCACGGTTCTTAGTAGCCACAATAAGCCACATCTCCAGGCTGTGATCCGGAGTCATCAAGTGGTAGAGCATTGCCTGATATGGAACAGCTTGACAAGAAGTTGGTGAGGCAATCACCAGGGATATCGAGGTTGTTAGAGCAGGAAAAGGACTAAGAAAAGGATTTTACCATACTACTCCTTAGCATGTTTTTGTTCCCATGTGTGGAAACTGAGTTGGAACTTCTACAACAGTGATTATTAACCTTTTTGACAGGGACCTATTGGCATTATTTTGTTAATATATTGTAAAATTACAATAGATTACAAGTTCAGTGATCTATTTTCCTAATCTGTAATGTGACAAATAATATAAATCTACAAAATAAGTTGATCAAACTTTCCACAGTGTCTACGGGGGTAGCCACTGCTTCAGGGAAAAAATACTCCTACAGTAGATCATTTATAGTTCGTAATTTCTTGTGGCTTAATAAATATATTGTGCCTGTTCTAGTGATTAGGATTCCACTCTAGGTCATGACACAGGAGTTAAGAACCAGTTCTAGAATATAGTATAAAGGTAAATGTAGAAGCATGTGTTGCATTTTTTTCCATTCCACTAATGCCTCTGAAATATGTTTTTTTGTTTTTTTTCACCAATCCCTAGGAGTGAGTGTGAGAGAGTTCTTCACAATAGTGTCAATGCTATTCCTTTCCATCTTTGTCCACTGGAGGGAGCTGGGGACCCAGTACTCATATGTGACCCCCTGAATGCTTCTGGACTGGCCCTGCAAACTATTCATGAACAGTTTCAGGCTTCATCCGCTGGTCTTGGAGAGTTGATGGGACATTACCTGACTGGGGAGAAGCCCACTGGTCTGTTGGAGACAGAAGAGATTTTGCCGGTGGGGGTAATTCTGACTGGACTAGGACGGCTATCGCTGGACAATCAGGGAGTGATGATATTACAGCCTCCCCAAAATGCTTCTGAATATTTTCTGTCCCTTGTTGGACATGAAGAGATATTGGAACAACAGGAGTCAATAGCCTACGTGTGGAGGAATGCAGCACTGTTCTTTGGAACTCTGGGAGCTGCTGTTTTCTGCTTCACTTTGTATCGAGCCTTTCGCAAGTATAAAGAGAAGCAGAAGCAGCAAGAGGAGGAAAGAAGGTGGGATAACATAAGTGAAGAGGAGCAGTCTACTGAAGATATGAGCGGGGCTTCTGACAGAATGTGTGTAGTCTGCCTTTCTCAGCCACGTGAATGTGTATTTCTACCTTGTGGACATGTATGCTGCTGTTTCACGTGTTATCAATCACTGCCCACATTCTCCTGCCCTATTTGTAGGTGTCAGCTAGAGAGAGTTGTACCTCTGCACCAGTTTTAAATACCATATTTCAGGATCTGTACTGAGATGTAGGTGGTGTTCTTTCCAGCTAACTGCAAGAGTCTAAGCAATACATTGCATTACTTGTGTAATGTTTTTTTTTTTCTCATGACCATTTAACAATATATATATATATATATATATATATATATATATATTTTTATACTGAAAATGTATGGAGAAATCTACATAAAAATAAGGAAACTGGAATATGCAGGGTACTACTTGCTGTAATTCTTCTGTTTTATTGTGTGGTGCACTATCAACCTCAATGACTCAAGCAGTTGACTAATGTCTGCTTTGTGAAGACAAGCCATAAATATTAATATAGTGTGCGGCCACATGTCATTTAACAAACAATGTTATTGCACATACATTAGTTTAATGCCTTGTGCAAAGGTTTTGCGATTGTAGATTTATGTTTCTGGAATCCAGTCTGTAAATGATAGATATAGCTTTAAGTTTCAGATATCTAAAATATAGACTAAAAAAATCCCAAAATGTTTATCAAAAAAATTCAACTAATATAAAGGGGAGATCCTCTGTGGCCTAGCATTATGGCATAGACCAGGGGTAGGCAACATTTTATTAGTACTATGCCAAAACAAGATCTTGAACGCCAGTCCTATTTTTTTAAATTGAAGTGTGTATGTTGCCGTCTTGTGCTTGTGTTATTTATGTGTGTAGCAATTGCTTTGTAGTGATGTATTTGTGTGTATGCAGGCTGTTATAATGTATATGTTCATAAATAATTTGTGGTGGTGTGTATGATACCTATGAATGTGGGCTGTATGGGACATGCTTGTGGAATTGTGTGTGTTGATGACATGTCACATTGGGTGTTTGATGGGGTGTATATGTTGGGGCTGCTTGTGGTATTGCATGTGAGTGTGTGTGTGATGTCAGTGGTGTTGTGTTTCTGGACACTGTGTGTGTGTGGACTGTTTGTATTAGGGGGAGGCTTTTTATGCAGCACTGTGTATATCTGAGTGTGGGTGGCTTCCCTGTGGTCCAGTGAGGAATGTGCTGACCAGGTACAGGTCAAGGGCAGAAGCTGCAATAGCTGCTGCAGGCTATTCTACTCCAATTTTGATTCCTGTGCACACGTGCAGGGAGGAAGTGATCCAAGATGTGTGATCCATGCTGCAATGTGTAAATTGAGGATTGTCCCTCATCACCTGCAATCACAGCTCGATTTTCACTAGCAGATATCTGAAGTCCCACCTCGAGTGCCATAGGTTGCTGACCCCTGGCATAGACCATACTCACTTTGATACTTGTAAACTGTGTGTATCTATACCATGGAGGAGAGTCAGAATGCACTCCTGCTTGCTACCATTTCTAGGATTCTTTTTGACAATTTGACAATTTTTATTGGTTATCAATTTGACAATTTTTATTGGTTTTTTGGGGATACAGAAGAAAGAAAGGGGAGGTTAGGGGGTATAACAAATTCCTCTTTTGGTTTTGTTACATCACAGAATTCCAGTATGACATTATCTTGGCATATCCAAAATCAATAGTGTGACACAGCACACTTCATCAAAAGCAAACATTTCTGTACCACTGCCAGGATTCTTAATACTGCTGATAGTATCTTGCATGTACCTGAATATGATTCCATGCATTATCATTTCTGATAAACAGTATACACATTTTGCCTTTCTATGTAAACTCTGGGATCTTTCTGTAGTTATATCAAATATTTGTAAATATTCTATTAGTTCTGTACATTGTGTATCCATATTATCTGGCATAAAAAAGAAAGTGAAATCAATAGAAAGCAAAAGCATGAAAGAAAAGAAATGGGAATTATTTTTATTTTTTTATATGGACACATCTGTATACACACAGAAGGAAAAAGTAGAGCAGGTGACAATAATACATTACTGGTATGTTGCAACAGTATCATACACATTAGAATATACTTAACAGTACCAGACACCAATAAACAAGGAAAATGAATGAAAAACTAAATTACGAAAAATGCATTTTTTTATTATTGTTTGAAAACAATCAAATAACTCTAGTAGTTTTATTGATTTTTTATTTTTTTACAAGAGGATGTGACCATTAACCCCTTAAGGACACAGCTGCAGAAGCTTGTCTTACGCTTAATGACACAAGCCATTTTTGCATTTTTTTTGCTGTTTGTGTTTAAACGCAATTTGCATCTCTGTCATTTATTGCACCAACACGTATTATACATCGTTTTTTAGAAGGTAAACAGAGCTTTAATTTGATATCACATATACATAGATACATTCTCACTAATTATAAAAAAAAATATAAAAATAAAAATACACTTTTTCACAGTTTTGGCAATAATAGCGTGTGCATAATATGTCCAGCTTAGAAAAAGTAATTAAAAATAAATTAATGTGTCTTGATTTATAGAGTACATCATATGTATAGGATTTAAGCTTATTTTGAAAGTTACAGGTCACAAAATACAAGGACTAAAATAAAATTTACATTTGCAAACATTTTAGGAGTTGGTATGTTTGTCTTGTAGGCTTAGTAGCCATCACAGAAAACAAAATTGCCACACAAAAGTATATATTTATATAAAGTAGACATCACAGGCTATTTACCTAAGGTTATTTTAACACTTTTTACGTAGCCATTTCACTGCCAATCTCTGCTAAATATTGGAGTAAAATTGTGGGTTTTTTTGGTTTTTGACACACAAACTTATAACACAGATCTCATGTGTATTTTGTGTTTATTTTGAGTTCAGCTACATATGCTGAGTACAATGATACCCCCATTGTATGTCTTTGGCACTATTTCGTGAAGCTACACTGCCAAATAGGAGACCTGGCCATTTCAGTATTTACAGTAGAATTTTGAGAGACAGATTTGATGGGCCTATATTTCGTTTTGAAAATAATATATATGTATATTTTAATTCTTTATTTTTGTTGTGCAGGTAGTTACATTACTTTGTCAAACGCCACAACAGCGTACATAAAGAGTCATACAGGCTTAACAGTGGCAAGAATGTGTGCACATTTTTAAAAATGAACACGTTCAGTAATGACAGGCTGAACATAACTTATAGTTACATAGTTACACAGGGCCGCCATCAGGGCATGAAAACCGTGACAATTGTCACGGGTCTGGCGGCCCTGGGGGGCCCGGCCACCTGGGCCCCACGTGGATCAGCGGAACTGCCGCCGGTGCATCTGCACCGGGGCCCACACGCTGATGGGGCCCATCAGGTGGCCCAATCATTTAGGGCCACCCAATGGGCCCTATTATCTTCAGGGGCCCAATCAGCGCTGTAATAGCGCAACCGGGCCCCTTTAAAAAAAAAATGCAGCCGGAAGCAAGTGCTGCTGGGAGGAAGTGACGTCCGGTCACCTCCTCCCACTTTACTCCGCGCGGGAAGGAGGACGCAGCCTGAGGAGAGGCAGCCGATACCCATCATCCCCAGCCACCCTCCTGCGACGAAATGGTAAGGAAGAGAGGAGGGTGGCTGGGGATGAGGTGTATGTGTGTATGCCAGTGTGTGTATGTATGCCAGTGTATGTGTGTATGTATACCAGTGTATGTGTGTATGTATGCCAGTGTGTGTGTATGCCAGTGTGTTTGAGTATGCCAGTGTATGTATGCCAGTGTGTGTGTGTATGTATACCAGTGTATGTGTGTATGTATGCCAGTGTGTGTATGTATGCCAGTGTATGTATGCCAGTGTGTGTGTGTATGCCAGTGTATGTGTGTATGTATGCCAGTGTGTGTATGTATACCAGTGTATGTGTGTGTGTGTGTATGCCATTGTATGTGTGTGTATGCCAGTGTGTTTGTGTATGCCATTGTATGTGTGTGTGTATGCCAGTGTGTGTATGTATGCCAGTGTGAGTGTGTATGTATGCCAGTGTGTGTATGTATGCCAGTGTATATGTGTATGCCAGTGCATGTGTGTGTATGCCAGTGTATGTGTGTATGTATGCCAGTGTGTGTATACCAGTGTATGTATGCCAGTGTATGTGTGTATGTATGCCAGTGTGTGTATGCCAGTGTGTGTGTATGTATGCTAGTGTATGTGTGTATGTATGCCAGTGTGTGTGTGTATGCCAGTGTATGTGTGTCAGTGTATGTGTGTATGTATGTCAGTGTATGTGTATGCCAGTGTATGTGTGTGTGTATGCATGCCAGTGTATGTGTGTATGTATGCCAGTGCATGTGTGTATGCCAGTGTATGTGTGTATGTATACCAGTGTATGCGTGTATGTATGCCAGTGTGTGTCTGTATGTATGTATGTATGCATGCCTGTGTGTGTCTGTATGTCTGTCAGTATGTATGTATATATCAGTATGCAGTATGTGTATGTATATGTATGTTTGTCAGTATGTATGTCTGCATGTATATGTGTGTTTGTGTGTGTGTCAGTATCTCCCTATGCATGTGTGTATGTCTGTTTCAGTATTTGTATCTGTTAGTGTGTGTGTATTCCTGTGGGCGGGATTTAGAGGCGGGCTTGAAGGGGGGCCCAGACCTTGAGCTGTATTAGGGGCCCCAAAATTTCTGATGGCGGCCCTGTAGTTACATAGTTACATAGCTGAAAAGAGACTTGCGTCCATCAAGTTCAGCCTTCCTCACAAATGTTGTTGCTGTTGATCCAAAAGAAGGCAAAAAACCTGGTCTGAAGCGCTTCCAATTTTGCCACAAACTAGGAAAAAATTCATTCTTGACCCCAAAATAGCAGTCAGATGTCTCCTTGGATCAAGCAGCTATTACCCCACTAATTAGACATTATATCCCTGTATGTTATGTTTTTGTAAGTATTTATCCAATTTCAGTTTAAACATCTGTATGGACTCTGACAAAACCACCTCTTCAGGCAGCGAATTCCGTATCCTTATTGTTCTTACTGTAAAAAAACCTTTTCTTTGCCTTAGATGAAATCTCCTTTCTTCCAGCCTAAATGTGTGACCTCGTGTCCTATGTATAGCCCTGTTTATGAATAGATTTCCAGATAAAGGTTTGTACTGGCCCCGAATATATTTGTATAAAGTTATCATATCCCCTCTCAGGCGCCGTTTTTCCAAACTAAACAGATTAAATTTTTTTTAACCTTTCTTCGTCACTAAAATGGTCCATTCCTTTTTATCAATTTTGTAGCTCATCTCTGGACCCTCTCCAGTGCCACAATATCCTTCTTTAGAACAGGTGCCCAAAATTGCACAGCATATTCAAGGTGTGGTTTTACCAGCGATTTATAAGGTACTGCTATGAAGATAATGTATATAGGGTTTAGGGTTACGATGCTGCAGGGTACTGCAGTGTAGTACATGCTTAAACATTCATGTCTATATGAGAGACAAGGTAGGGGCTTTAAAAAAAATATTCGACAAGAAGATTATTAAACACAGTGAGTTAGAGGTTGAGCATGCCAGATTAGGTCTGACGTTTGGTAGCCGCTGGGTACTTAGGGTTGCGGCAACCGGGGATAGCCCTCATGGTTACTGGGGATAACCAGTGAGAAGTGGTACGGCATATAATACATTTGCGTAGGGTGGCTGCTTTGAAAGCTGTTTATTAGTTTCAGTGGGTGTCTCTGGGTAATGGGTCAAGCGACTAGATTATTAGGGGTTAGTCATGTATTAACTGGCCTGTAATCTAAGCCTGAGGCGGTTTAACCAATGCCCACCAATGGCTGCCTGCCAGGCCCGAAAGATCTAGGTCCGTCTTCTTGTAGGTGAGGGCGCCGCCAGTCCCAAGTGCCTGTGTAGTCATATACTTCCCCGACCTCTCCGCCACAGAGTCCGGTCGCTGGTGCTGGGCCTCCAGGCCATCTCTGTGCCCGTAGGTGAGTGCGCCATAGTTGGGCTCTCCAAGTGAGCGGCATACTGGCGTGGAGTCTTCTCCCTTGTAAGTGCCGTATAGGAATGTGGTTGCGAGGTGGTAACTTGCTTGGCACGCGCGGACCCAGTATAGGGGTAGGGAGATTTCACAGGACAAATGGCCATCAAATTTCCCTACCCCTATACTGCACACGCTCGGTGTGGGGTAGGGAGATGGGATGGACGTAAAGCGCTCCCTGCCCACTAGTGCGCACGCACGCTGTACCTCCGACGGGAGTACTGTGCCGCCCGTGCGCACTGTGCCGTTATTTTCCCGTGCTCGATGTGAAATTTCCCTACCTAGTAGTTGTGCGCTTGCGCGGTGGCGCACACCCCCGTCCTAGAGCTGTTCCTCGTCACATCCGGTGCGGCCGCGTCACCGGAAGTGACGAGGGTAGGGAATTTTCACGGGTAGGGTTTTTTGGTAGAACACCGGCAGCACAGCGTGCACCGTGGTACAGGAACTTCAATTTCAGGTTCCGGTTTCCGGCGGGACTGAAAGGAAGTTCCTGTACCACGGTGCGTGCTGTGCTGCCGGCCCACGCTACAAGACAGGTAAGTAATTATGGGACAAGGGGGGGAGGACACTATGGGACAAGGGGGGGAACACTATGGGACAAGAGGGGGGACACTATGGGACAAGGGGAGGGACACTATGGGACAAGAGGGGGGACACTATGGGACAAAGGAGGGGGGACACACTATGGGATGAGGGGTGGGGGGAACACTATGGGATGAGAACACTTGGACAAGGGGAGGAGGGGGTTAAAGAACACTTGTACAAGGGGGTGGGGGGTTAAAGAACACTATGGGACAGGGGAGGAGTGGTTAACAATCACTATGGGATAGAGGAAGGGGGGATTAAAAATCACTATGGGACAGGAGAGGGGGGTTTAAAGATCACTATGGGACAGGGGAGGGGGGGTTAAAGATCACTATGGGACAGGGGAGGGGAGTGGATGGTAAGAAACACTATGGAACAGTTTGTTCAGAATATTTTCTTTTCTGGGTTTCCTCCTCTAAAAACTAGGTGCGTCTTATGGTGTGGAGCATCTTATGGAGTGAAAAATATGGTATTTCGTGATGCTACAGTGCCATATAGGAGACCTGTCCACATCAGTATTTACAGTAGAATTTTGAGAGAAGGATTTGATGGGCCTATGTTTCAATTTGGGGCATTATAGCAGTTTGACTGTTAAAAAAACAAAACACAAAGGACTACCATATCTTAAAGTAGACACCCCAGGGTTAGTGATGTGCCGAACGGTTCGCGAACGGTTCGTGCCGAACGGTTCGCGAACGGTTCGTCCCGAACGGTTCGCGAACGGTTCGTCACGAACGGTTCGCCGCTGACTCATCATTGAGTAAACTTTGACCCTGTACCTCACAGACAACAGACACATTCCAGCCAATCAGCAGCAGACCCTCCCTCCCAGACCCTCCCACCTCCTGGACAGCTCACTAAGAATGCAGCTTCACAATTGATGCTGTCCAGGAGGTGGGAGGGTCTGGGAGGGAGGGTCTGCTGCTGATTGGCTGGAATGTGTCTGCTGACTGTGAGGTACAGGGTCAAAGTTTACTCAATGATGAGTCCGTGGCGAACCATTCGCGAACCGTTCGGCGAACAGTTCGGGACATCACTACCCAGGGTATTTCAAAGGGCATATTTAAAACCTTAGTGTAGGATCATTTTTTTGCAAGTTTGTACCAAGTCTAGTAGCAATTAGCATTTTTTCTGCCTTTTTGACACACACTTGGAGATGTTACTGTATATTTTGCAATCCTTATGTGTGCTACAGCAGTAAAACACCTGATATGTTGCTCAGCTATGTCGTCTTACTACAACAATACCCCCATGTGTACCTTTTTCAGGGATATGTGGATGTTGAAGGGGAACATTTGACACACAACAATTTCATATTTTCCAAAAGCGGATGCTGGGCCTATGTCTCATTTTAGCAGTTCATGATTGCATATTACCTCTCAAAGGCCACATCTATTTTTAAATATAAGCACTTGTCCCTACTATATCTGGGCAACCTAGGGGATCAAGGTGGCTATCCCTTCCTTAGTATACACGGACGGTGTACACATAGCCACTGCCACTTTCACACAATTTATCAAATTTGATCCCATATCAGGATCTTTTGGATGGGATATACTGTTTAAACCCCAGTCTTCCCTTATATTTCATGAGGGATTCGTCAATAGAAATATGTTTGTTTTTGGGGGGTATAAATAGTGGCAAATTTTTTGTTATACTGGGCAATTAGAGGGCGTATTTTTTTTATAGAAGATCATACTATGGATGACCTTTTGGGGGGCACTTCGTATTGTCAAGCGCATAAATCGCAGTATGTCTTCAGATCTGTCCCTTCTCATGGTCTGGGAAAAATGGGGTATTGCAAATGGGGTTTTTCGACCAATACATTCTAATGGTGGGCTTTTTAATTATCCCCATTAACATTGTCAGTGCCCAGAATTGTTTCAATTCTGGCACACTGGTGGGGTACCAATCTGTCTTTCCTGGCGATGAGTGTGTGCCAGATACTGCACAGCGTACAGATTAGTCTGGGTGACTATCCCCCCCAAAATATCAACAGCTGCATACAATCCAGCGCATTATAGCCAGACATGTCAGCCTGTATGCCTGGATTAAAATTATTAGGGGGTACCCAGTCATCTGCGCCACATTCAGCATCAGGGGAATCAGCAATTTCTCCTGATGGTCCTGCAGTATCTGGCACATAGTGTAGCGGAGAGGTAGTATAATCCATAGTATCTCAGCTAGTAGACAGGAAAGCATACAATAATCCAGGGAGGCAGGTACAGCATACAATAATGCAGGTAGCGTTATAAGAATCCTTCCCTCCCAAGAACTAGACGGCACATAGGCTGGGAGTCAACTCAGGTTTTTAATCACAGGTCACAGTATTTATGCAGTTACACATGTAAGAGGTTTCCAAAGTCACATTTCAGGGGCTGTCCAGTAGTGGACTACATGGGGGACTTAACTTGCAGGGCTATCCCCCACCATGCACTGCTGCACTAGAGAGATAATCACCCAAGAATGTATTGTTAATGGGATTATCTCCTAGTACAGCAACATATAGCTTTTTACATTAAAATCCATAACTGTAATAATATTCCTGACATTTAGCCAAAAGACCCCTTGGTACATAGCTGGGATCTGAGCGCTAGTTCACTCAATGCTGTGCTCAGATCCCAGCTATGTACCAAATAAACGAACGCCGTTCGAATTACATGATTAGACCAACCAAGTTTAAAATGACTGCACTGACTTAGGGGATGAAACTCACGAAAGAAGTCCAGCGGGGCTCGTGCCCGAGTAGCCGATTTTAGTTCCAGGCACTCGAAGGCAAAACCCCGCTGGGTCTCCGGTACACGAACGGTGGCCACCCGCAGCACCCACTAATTGGACCTTGCTACAATGTTGCAAAGTACTTAGTGGGAGACACACGACCTGCTGCGGTGGTCTCTCATTCGATACTTTGCTGGTTCCACGAACAGTGTTGAGATTCACTGCTCGTGGATATCCCAGTTGAACGCTGGCGGTTGGAAACACATGAATGCTCTAACCCAGCACTTGTAAG